CTGTTTTTATTGTCGTTAGCCGCCCAGAGTCACTGGTCTGACATGGGCGGCAATATAAATTGAATAAATAAATAAATAAAATAAATGTGTGTGTGTGTGTGTCTGTCAGTCTGTCAATCAATCACACATACACACCTGGACATTCATATTCAGGTGCTATGCAAACTACTTTTTTAAATCCTGAAATTAGAGTCTTAAGTCTCTGAACTGGTTGAACAAGAAATATATACCACCAGAGGGAATGGAAACTCTTTTATTCTACTTGTACTTAGCTACACAGTTCAGCATATAAAGACACACCAAAGGTTAACCCATTTCTCTTGATCTTCATCAATTTTCATTATACTGGCTGGTGCACTCTTTCTATCAGCAGTTCTTAGTACAGGCTAATCTTTTTTTACCTTCGCTTTTTTTTTTTTTTTGCATTTTTTTTCAGTGTCAATGAGACTGGAACCAGGAGAAAAATCCAAATTAAACATCGTTCACTGGGACATTGCGAGCAGAGAAAGGATCACAGAACATTCAGGATATGTAACTTTTGGCAAGTGGTGGGCTGGTTTTGGACTTTGAGGAAATCAGGAGTTGGGGAGGAAATACCTTTCCAATCATTTTTAAGTTAGGATTCCAGAGTTATGATCCCGATTAGAGGGATTCAATGAAAGCAGATTTTCTCAAGGCCACATTGACAGTGGAGACCATCTTCCAAGAGGGAGTCAATGCAACCAGGGCAAGCAAGCAACATCTCCAGAACACCTCATCTCCAACAAGGGCTAGCAAGGCTGTTTATATCTGTAATTGAGCAAAAGGGAGGGACGAGAAAGAAAGGGTATCTTCTCGCTGGAGAAGACGTTTGGCCACCTGTGTTGCACTACGCAGTTTCCCCAAGTAGCATCTTGACTGCACAGCTCTTCCCCCTTGTTTATAGGAGAGTGGACAGGTTCTGACAGGGCTGAAAAAGAATTTAATTTTAAAAAAGCAGAATAATTAGCGCTGGGTGATGAGATGATTCTTACTCAAAATGGATGGAAAGTGTTCTTCATTTGCAAAATTCTTTGTTTTGCTTCTTTCCCTGGCCATCTCTTCGCTCTTAAAATTTTAATCTCATCCACTACTTTGGAGCTTTCCAAGGTCCCCTACCCATCTTGTCGCCTACCAGGAGAAATTCTCTTTCTATTCCTACTATGATCTTTTCAAGTCAAAGACTGCTCAGAATCTCCTCCAGCTCCTCATTTAGTTCTTCTTTCTACTTCATTATCAGCCATTTCTCTCTCAGTGACTGAGAGTTTTCCTTGAAAACTCCCAAAATTCTGTATTAGAATCGTTCTGCCTGGCTTCTAGTGCTGTAATGGGATCCATGATTGCTTGGACACTTCATACCCTTTGGGTATTTATTCTGACTGAAAACTATACTTAAAATTACAGGTTTTACCCTGTTATGAGCTGCTAATATTTCTCCGTGTTTCTTGTTTTCTTGAGGAACTTTCCCTATAAGCTAAATTTCTCAAGACCTGCTTTCTTGTTTTCAGTCCTTCAGCTTCTTAACCATTCTTATTATTTCTTCTGTAAAAAACAGCCCTGGTGGCTATAAGAAGAACTTCAAAGTCCACATGAGGATAACTCCTACATTAGGATAATGTCTACATGAGGTCAATTAAGCAACAATTATTATTGTTGTTTTATTGTGAACCGCCCAGAGTCACTTCTCGTGAGATGGGCGGTATCTAAATTTGAAATATAAATATAAATAAAATATAAGGGTCGCAATATAGTTATTAAATATTTTCATCTTGCTTGACAAATACTTCCTGGAGTATTACTTATCAGCTAAGATGGTCAAGTCTGAACAAATGATAGAAGTTCAAACCATGATGTCTGCGTTCAGCTGGATCTGAAGATGGAATGTGTGAATAGGCTGCAGATGATAAGGCAGAGACCTTAATATCTCTTGGAAAAAACCTAGGTGTAACCCAAACCTAACAATGGTTAATCTTCCATTGTTAAAAAACATAAAAACAATCATCTTCAAACATTCCTAATTTAAGGATGACTTGCTTTGGAAGCCCTGAGTTTTGAAAGTTGTTTCAAGGGTTTATTTCCAAACGACTAAAAATATTACAGTGCTTCATCCAAAGTTCTCTGACCTTTTGTATTTCTACAGCAAGGACTTCATCTGAAATTAACCTGGAGGGAATCCAACACCATCTTTTCAATGAACATAAAAAATGTCGTACCGGAACTTTTATGGGCTATTTTAAGTCTCTATTAGAAAACCATTGCAGTGATATTCTTCCAATAATTTGTACATTTTAGTAGAGCAGGGGAGATCAGGAGCCAAAGCTACTTATTGCACGGCAGTGTTCACTGCTCTAACTCCTGGATGGTTGATTTATTTTCTTCAATAAACAGCTTTTTTCAGGAACGGGGAAGTGCCTGTCATGGTCCTGGCTGAACGAGAGGGAACTGCTTGAATGATCCCACGGGAATTATTCAGAACTCTCCACTCCTTCGAATGGAGCCATCAGCAGTTAGCAAAATAATACGTTTAATATACAAATAAATTAGAAATTAGCCTCTCTTCAGGCTGCAACTACAATGGGGCTAGGAGACAAAATCCCCTGCTCTCACAGCCCCATTTCAGTTTCTTCTCCTATTTATCAAAGGAAGGAAGGATCGTGCCCAGAATAAAGGCAAAACATCTGATCCAGCCCTGGGATTCGCTCAAGTTGAGAAGTTTTCATAGATGGGGTTTGCCTTCTCCTGCAAAAGTCGGATGCATATGCAAAAAGGCGGCTCAGCAGAAAGCGTAGCTGTTGGCGCTCATAAATATGGAAATGACTTCTTTGTAGGTATACAGTGGAAGGCAGTCTGCATATCAAAAAAGGAATTAGATCATATTAGCCTCCTGAAGGCATCTGCTGTATTCTCTTGCTCAGGATTAAGTTCTGCTCAAGTCAGAGGAATTGATGCCAGAGGATCCACGCCTCACGGGGGACTGGATAAAGTTCTGCTAGAAGTTGTGTAATCTCATACGAAAGAGAAGAAAAGAGGAGAGCCAGTTTGGTGTGTGGTTGAGGCACTAGGCTAGAAACTGGGAGACCGGGAGTTCTGGTCCTGCCTTAGGCACGAAGCCAGCTCTCTCGCTCAGTCCTAGGAAGGAGGAGGCAAAGGCCAAGTCCAGTCCCTCTCGCTCAGCCCTAGGAAGGAGGAGGCAAAGGCCAACCCCTTCTGAAAAACCTTGCCAAGAAAACTGCAGCGACTAGTCCAGGCAGTCACCAGGAGTCAACAGTGACTTGAGAGGAGGAGGAGGAGGAGGTAATGGCTAAGGAATTATCATCAGCAACCAAAACACTGGCTGCTAGCTAACTCTTAAGCAACGAAAAAAGATCTGAAATTTTGGGCCGTAGGTTATCCCATGATAGTCATACTCCTGACCCCTCTAACACAATTTTTCCTGGAAGAGGGGAGAAATGGAATAAAGTTTTTTTTTTAAAACCTGTCTAGGCGTGCCTCCCCTTCATCTCCCTCCATTATCTCTGCCTACGAGGGACAGCCGTGATAGCATCAGGTTTGCATGACCTCTTAGAGCCCTGGACAACATACTGAGGATCCTGGGCTATTCAGTTACCACTTCCTAAAGTGGGCGGCAAAACAAAGGAGGTCCTTGTCGTGATTTATCTGTCTGCCATTTTGCCACTCCCTTGTGCCAAACCCTGAAGGGCATACAACGATGGCTTTGAGAAGGAAAAGAAAAGGAAGTGGTTTGGGTTTGCAGAGGGTCCCCAAGGAGCAGGCTTCCGCTCCGTCTGAAACGAAACGTATACATCCCCACGTTCGCTGAGAATGAAGAGGTCGGGAAAGCTTCTAGGCTGTCCTTCAACCTTGCATTCTTTTGCAAGTCCAAACGCTACTGCGGATTTCGAAGAAGCAGTTTGCTCCATTGTTTGGAGTTTTGTTTTTATTTATATTTATATTTATTTATATTTCAAATTTCACCGCAGCCCATCTCACTCAAAGAGTGCTGCTGGGCAGCTTACAATAAAAATAAGGATAAAAACCAATTAAAATACAATAAAAACAGTGTTCACAAATCAATAATATATTCCAAGGAATTGATGGTATGTAATAGGTTGTCGATTTATGGGAGCGTCTTCAGGATGTATTCTCCTTTTATACAGAATGTTGTTCCCCAACATTTTCATTTATTGATTTGATTTGATTTGATTTGTTTAGCTGCCCCACTCACACAAGTGACTCCGGGCAACTAACAGCAATTTAAAAAAACATCAACCCAGAACAGCACAATACAAGTAAAAAACAAACATATAAAACTATGTTAAAAAACCACAAAATATATTCTGCAGGCGAGTTTAGAGAAACATTCGTGGCATTCAGCATAACCATGGAATGGGCTCTATGTCAACAGAAGCGGTGCAAGGTATTTTAAATGGCCGCATTGGCAAGATACAGCTAATATATGTTTTTTGTCTACTGATCTTTACAAAAGAAAAGAAAATCAGGGAAGTCCCTGAAGCTTAAATATTGCCCTAAGACGAAGATAAATAGAAAAATGCTCATCAATGCAACCGCTTGCACCCTATCACTCTTTTAGTCAAGCTTTAAAATGGCAAGAACCACGGCAATGGTTCCGTGCCAAGAATCCTGCAGTGTAGATAATCTATTTGGTGTACTTACCCAATTCTTTAGACACAGGTGATGCAACAGCAATATCACCTATTTTTGCAATACCATCATAGTAAGCTCTTCCAGCAAGGACCATACCTGGAGGAAGAGATTAAAAAAACAACAACTGATGTTAGTTGTACTTGAAAGTAACCTATTGAACCATCAACTATATATCTTGTAGATGAGTCACCCTTCCCCAGGTAGGGATAGAGTGTTAATCACAGTAGGACATCTATGCATTGAAGTTGCCTTCTAAGTCACATTCCACACAGCCTATAACAGTGTTTTCCAAACTTGGCAACTTTAAGATGCGTGGATTTCAACTCCCAGAATCCCCCAGCCAGCATGGTTGGCTTAAAGTTCTTAAAGTTGCCAAGTTTTGGGCATCTTACAAAGTTGCCAAGTTTGAAAACCACTGGCCTACCACAGAGTCGGTTAAGAGTTAAAGATTGATAAGGAGTATCCAGAGTTTTTCCCTGCACAAATATATTAAAATCATATGGCCTGGTGAGAGCAGCTGGTAGCAGCCACAAGTCAGACTGGAGTGTCTGCCAGAAAGTTTCTAAGGAAAAGCTAAATCCTTCCTTGAAATCCAGCAACAGGGGATTTAACCTTTTGGCTCTGTACTTGAACTGTAATGATAAACAGAAGAGAGTTCTAACACATTTAGTACAGTATGTGGTCAACAACGGTGGTCGGTAGCAATGAACAGCTTACAGCTTCTCCTTCTCTGATGCCCACAGGAAGGGGCAATAGCAGAAGACGTAGGAGAAGTTCTTTTATTTATTATGTGCTTAAAACTAAGCTTAGCACAGATCTAGAATAGATCAGCAATTGATACCATAACATATTACAATTAATTTAAGGTTTTGTGTGTGTGTGTGTGTGTGTATAATTTAATTTGCAAAGATTGCAATATAATAAGGGGCCTTCACAACATATAATAATATTAACGTTGATATATTCAGAGAAGAGGTAAGAAATTGTTCATTTTAAAGCAACTTCATTGGGGTCCATGAGCAAAAAAGAAAACTTTTTCCTGCTTTTGAAAACTTAAAACTGATCTGACATCAAGCATAGCCTGAGGGGAGTCTATATTCCAAAGAACTGGAGCAGGTGGAAACAAGCTTTTAACCGCTGTTCTAATATGTGACCTGGGCTTGAAAATTAGGGCGCAGGTATACAAAGCACCAGCACGTCTTTCAGATAACCCAGTGTGCCCATTTGCAGAGGAACGAAGTGCCAACACCATCAATTGGCACTGGCAAGAAGCAAAACAGGCATTGTGCCATCATGCCTCGCAAGGGCAAAGGTGTATGGGTGGAATTTGTATCGTGACATCACAGCATGCCATCATTATGATGAAATCTTCCCTGTGAACACACATGCCTCTGGCTGATGATACCAAACAATGTACTTCATGTAACTGCTACTCTTGAAGAGATGACCTAGCATCAACAGGCACCCGGCATTACAAGTAGTCGCCCACTTATGACCACAATTGGGACCAGAACTTCCGTTGCTAAGCCATGCGGTCATTAAGTGAGTTGCGCCTGATTTTATGACCTTTTTTGCCATGATCGTTAAGTGAATCATGCGGTTGTTAAGCAAATCCAGCTTCCCCCATTGACTTTGCTTGTTGGAAGCCCTCTGGGAAGGTCGCAAATGGTGATCATATGATCCTGGGATGTTGTAACCGTCTAAGTACATGCCAGTTGCCAAGGACCCAAATTTTGATCACATGACCACAGGGACACTGCAACAGTCATAAATACAAGGACCGGTCATAAGTCATTTTTCCAGCGCTGTTGTAACTTTGAATGGTCATTAAACGAATGGTCATAAGTTGAGGACTACCTGTAGTGTATTTTAGCCAGAGTTAAATGGTGGTTATTCAGCCCCTTAAATGGCTTCCCTTTTAAATAATTTGAAATCAAGGCTTCAAGCTAGTTAAGATAGAACGAGCTTAAGCTGGTTTACATTTCTAGCATTTCCTTTACCTTTGTTCTTCAATCTATTGAACAAATCTATTTGACATTATAATATTTGCTAAGCAACTGGTATTTTTAAAACATTTACAAGAAACAGCTCCCACAGAGTAGGAAGTATATAATTTTCCTATTCAGCAAGAATGGAGATTTTAATCTTTCTGGAGGAAGGGCACAGTTCTGCTTCACATCAAAGCCATATCAGTTCAACTTCTTAATTCAACAAGAGTATCACTGGGCTTGGTTGTTCCCAGTTCATTACTTCCATATTATGTCTGCATTTATATTTATTTATTAGAGTCATATCCTACCTTGTTTGTTCAGGAGCTCAAGGTGGCATGGAGAGTGCTGCTTCCTATTTCTCCCTGCCATCAACAACCCTGGGAGGTAGGCTGGGCTCAGGGAGAGTACTAATCCAAAGTCACCCAGGGAACTTCCATGGCTGCAGGGGTGACAAACTGGGTCTCCCTGCTCCTAATTGAGGACCTTAATCACTATACCACACTGGCTGTCTAAAAATAACTGATACGCTATCATTCATTCATTCATTCATTCATTCATTCATTCATTCATTCATTTAAATAAATAAATAAATAATTTGATGAGAGCCAGTTTGGTGTAGTGGTGAAGGCATCAGGTTAGAAACTGGGAGTCTGTGACTTCTAGTCCCACCTTAGGCACAAAGACAGCTGGGTGATCTTGGACCCGTCCCTCTCTCAGCCCTAGGAAGGAGAAGAAGGCAGGGGCCCACCACTTCTAAAATCTTATCAAGAAAACTGCAGGGATGAGTCCATGTAGATTACCAGGAGTCAAGTATGATTTAAAGACCATATCAGAGTCAGTCTGATCTAGTGGTGAGGGTGCTGGACCAGGAGCAGGGAGACTGTGAGTTCTAGTCCTAAACCTTAGGCATGAAGCTATCTGGGTGACCTTGGACCAGTCCCTCTCTCAGCCCTAGGAAGGAGGCAATGGCAAACCACTTCCGAAAAACTTTGCCAAGAAAACTGCAGGGGCTTGTTCAGGCAGTCACCAAGAGTCAACAATGACTCAAAGGCACCAATTAAAAAAAAAAAAGATAAAATAATAATTTAAATAACAATGCCTGGCCTGCCAAATGGGTCACAAAAGCAGAATTCAAACCAGACAATGGTCAACTATCAAAAAGTGTTTAAAGTGAAGTAGAAATTTAAAGCGCTTGAAAAGATTTGCATTTGTAATCACTTAAAGAGAGGGCAAGATTCTGCAAACAGCCTTACAAGGAGTGTAGGCACCAACTCAAAAACATTTTACAAGACAAAGCTAATCTCTGAAAAAGCTCATGAGTTGGAAGGGGCACAAAATATATGAATCTGTTTAACACAATACATTTCACTGAAAAAGTGCAATAAGTGGATCCTATCCTGGAATAAAATGCAGGGTTACAAAATAGCCACCTGATAGTTTGTAAAAATACTTTAGAATACGGGAATACATTTGAGAGAAAAGATCCTTGTGCTGTCCTTAAATGAAATCCCAATCATTTAATTTACTTTCAATTTAAATTTATTTACCCCCAACATAACAGTAAGAATGCAGGTCAACACTGGCTCACAGCTGTAAGCACATCATGCACACTAAAACAAATGTCTGCTTTGTACTTGACGTGCTCAACCCTGCAATATTAAAATCTCCCCCTCAAATTGCCCTGCAACATGTTAGTAAGAGCAGGAAGGTTTTAAAGTTTTTTGCGCTTTCCTGTGTGTACAAAATCCACATAGCACGCAAAGATTCATTTAAGGAAAAAAAAAATCACGTTGTACGAAGTAGCAGTCATTTCTGAAATGCTGTTGGAAAGGCGCAGACACCGTACTTCACATGAAATCAGAAATTCACTCTAGCTACAATGCAATTAATTAATACCTTCTTCAGACTACAGCGGACTCCTTACCAAATAGCTAACGCGTACAAATAATTTATTTGTGTAAGATCTTTAAATGTCCTGTATTATATTTAAATAATGCAATTTGCAGGGCTTTTAAAAAAACAACAACACAATTTTAAACTAATGGGATATAAATGGAGATTTCTAAGACAAACTGGGTTCTTTCATCTGTCACCATCATGTTTTAAATTTGCTAGTTTCCAAAAAAGCTGTTTGAGTGGAAAAATATGTCCCACAGGCTTACTGGAGGACAGCCACAAGTATTACTTCTGACAAGTTCCCTTTAAAGTCCTGAATTGCACCATGAGGAGGAAAAAGTACTCTAGAACTACGCGTGTCCCAAACAAGACTGTCTTCTGATATGGTGCCAAACTGGGCTAATTCCAAAGATAGTGACCAAGAGGGATTCTCCCCTTTTCTTCTCCCTTCTGCAGCCCCGCGTGTATCACATGAATTTCAAATGAGAACCCACCAACACGCTAAAGGAGAACCTGGAACCTATTTCACTGCTGGATCTAACTCTTGGTCTTCCTAAGTGAAGCAGAAACAAGCTTCAAAACAAGTCAAAACAGCAAAGGTCCAGTGAAATTCTCTAATAGGAGCAGGTCACATTGGATCAGTAGGGTAGCTGTTAGACCTTCTGAAACATCTTCTAAACACGGCTGGCTGTTCTGATTTTGGGGAGCGGGGGGCGGTTCTTGCTTGCTTTCCTTTATTTTAAGCTACTATGGACGACTTTGGATCTCTGACAATAAATAAACAAAATTCCAATAAGATCAGCAATGACTCTTCTTGCGGTCAGCGTGTTATTCCTTGGAACGGGGGTTATCCAGCTGTGCGGCCCATAAAATATGTTAAGCTGCTGATGCGTCAAGACATTCCCACAGTACAGAAAGCCCCAAAAAAAGCGTTCGCCAAGATTTCATCCCTGGTCACCTGGAAGCTTTCCTCATGTGACCAGCTGAATTTGTTTTTTTGTTTTTTGTTTTTATAAGGCTCGTAAAACTGCATGGCATAACTCTAGCGGAGCATGATAGACCAGACGTTACAGTAGAGCAAATATTTATGGCTGGAGGACAGCACCCATAAGGACTGCTGAGGTCTAGCTCCTTCACTCCCCTTTTATCTCAAAATATAACCATTCATGTTCCTCATGTGGATAAATACTCTGAAGTATCTACCAAAAATTACTGACTTCTACAGTTATTTATGACCATACAACATCTTTGTGGGAAATAAGAACTTACAGAAACTAGATCAGGGTTTCTCAACTTCAGCAATTTATGTGTGAACTTCAACTCCCAGAATCCCCCATGCTGGCTGGGGAATTCTGGGAGTTGAAGTCCACACATCTTAAAGTTGCTGAGGTTGAGAGACACTGAACTAAATCTTTCTCCTTAGTGTATAGATCCATGGCCAAAAACTAATTCAATCTGATTCCTTCAGTTCTTTCTTCCCAAGACAGCCTCAGGGAGCATGTCCAAATCACTTGATCAAGAGAATGCCCTGGATTACAAATTCAGATGGGAAAGGATTCTGGAAAAAAAAAATCAGGTTGTTCTGAGAAAAGAGGGAGAAGTTAGATAAATGTTTAAAAATAACCCAGATGTTCAGCTTGGTTCCTAGGATAAATATAAGTAGTTTGTTAATAACTTTTGGGGAATACTTAACTGTAAGGCAGTTATTAGATTTTCAAACTGTACCATTAAAATATTAGGTATATAAAACAGACAGACACATTAAAAATGTAATGGAGACTTACCATTAACAGCTTTTTCATAGTTTTTCCCCAGGTTTATTAAATTCCTCAGCCCCGGATTGAATTGCTCCATAACATTCTGATGGCCGACAAGAAAACGAAAGACAGAGTTAAAGTCCTTCCTTAAATTAACAGAGAATTCTAGCTATAAATATCCCTGTCATTTAACTTTTAAAAACGTATGTAGACTTTGACCCAAAGGCCTTCAAGGTTGCTTAAAATGGTTTCAGAATCAGAAAAAGATTGTTCACATCCTGACATTTATGTATTTATAAAGTTTGTTGTCTGTTTTTCATTGTACAATAACCCCAAAATGGGATATCAAGCCATATAAGATTGCATTAGTTTAAACCAGGGCTTCTCAACCTTGGCAACTTTAAGATGTGTGAACTTCAACTCCCAGAATTCTGGGAGAATATGCTGGCTGGGGAATTCTGGAAGTTGAAGTCCACACGTCCTAAAGTTGCCAGGGTTGAGAAACCCTGGTTTAAATCCTTCAAATAAGACAGAAAGAATAAATACAGAACAGAATGAGGCAAGGACATAAAATGCAGCACCACAGAGTGAACCAAAAGCCCAGATAAACAAGCCAGTTTTCAAGCACACACTTCCATGTATCTTTGAAGGATGTTTCAGCCTTAGATCTGTGCAAGATTCACTAATTCAGTAAACCTTTCCTTTTTTGTAAGCCCAAGTGAGATTGTCATTCTCCAAACATTTTTCCTAGAAATACTAAGCATAATGTTCTGTAATGTTAGATAGATATTGACAGTTAATGACTTTATGTCCCAGAATTCAGGGAGCTGAAATCCACACATCTTAAAGTTGCCAAGGTTGAGAAATGCTGGTTTAGAAGAACAAGTCTGTTGTCTTTAACCACTAGTTACTAGACAAATAACATACCTATAAGCTAAATGAAACAGGACTCTGCTATAATGTTTATAATTCTATATCTGGGCAAAGATTAATAAAACAGAACCTGCTTCTATTTTCTACAAATATGCTTCTAATAATATTGCCATGAAATTTATTAAATGTAATAAGTGTTCCTTTAAAAAAAAGTTTAATTTTCCGTCAATTGTCAATGTTGTCATACAAAAATTCAAAGCAAAACTGCTTTCTTTTCAATAAAATCTGTTGGATAATTGGAGAATAGCCCCTCTGCCTTGACACTTTTCGTCTACTGCAAAATCAATGGCGCTGAGTGTAAAGTGCCAAGCGTCTAGTACGGGTTGCTTGGCGCATACATTATACTAACTTGTAACTCGTAGACTAACTTCATTTTGACTTAGTATGGTGTGCAAACTTGGTCTGCAAGTTCTTTTTTCAGTCCCCAAGCATCATAATCTACATTTAATTCTGGACAAGGGAGCTGGTTTCAACTGTGTCAGAGACACCAGGTTGGGTGCAGTAGCAACATTTGGTTGGGTCCAGTTCATTCTGGTCTGGTGTAACACATGCCTTGAATTCTGATCATGATGGGATGAAGATGCCCACAGAGATAACATTTCTCCCTTTGCAGGTATCCAGCGTGAACTCATCCCGTTTTGAGCCTAGTAGAATAACCAGCATTCAGCTCATGCCAAGTCTGATCCATCAAAGCCTTGATCCCCTCTGAACAACTGACATCACCCTGCCGTTTGGTAAATGATCCGCCTTACTGAGTTTCAGGGCCTCTTCAAGAAACCTAACTCTAGACAGGACAAATAACTTTTCAGTCAATGGGTTTGCGTTACTGGAGGATGGTTATGGCATTTTAGTTTGCTTTCAGAACATAATATTGTGTGCGTTTGAAATTACTGAATAAATGGCTCTCATAACATTAGGTAGAAACTGCAAATAATGTTTATTTCTCTCTTGATCCCTACGTTCTCTGGCCAGCTGCTGTTATGATGAAAAGAGCGAAACGACTCCAACGGAAACTTTTTCCTCATTTTTATATATGGGAACTTATGAACACTGATGCACACACCCTCCTGGATGGATACATATTTTAGCTGTAAACCGCTAGAGCAGGGTTTCTCAACCTTAGCAACTTTAAGATAGGTGGACTTCAACCCCCAGGATTCCCCAGCCAGCCATGCTGGCTGGGGAATTCTGGAAGATGAAGTCCACCCGTCTTAAAGTTGCCAAGGTTGAGAAACACTGTGCTAGAGTGTAAATTCTGCTTATTTCACCCACTTGTTATTTTATGGCTGGATTTAATATGTTTAATTCATTTTCATTTGAGGAAAATGAAGCTTAATATGAACCAAATATGCTCTTAATATCTTTTTAACAGATCAGCGTTAGCTAAGCTGCTAAATTTTAATTTATTCCCTGGCACGTTATCAGTCTGAGAAAGTCAGTCAGATTTCTCTACTACCTTTCTGCAGAAAAGAATCAAAAGAGACATTGTCTATAACATGCTCTATATTCTTCAGCTCACCGTGCAGATCAACAAATGTCCCGAAGATTCAAATATTTCTGCTGTTCCTCCTTGTTGATGTCTTTAGCCAGCATAGCACCACAATGCTATTGCAGCACCTTGTTGGCTGTTTGGACAAGCCGGGACAAATCTGAATGATGAAATTCTGTGATTCCCCGTTTGGAAACCAACGAATATTTTCCCCTTACGGAAGAATTTAGGAGGAAGTTTTATCTCCGTGATTAAAGGAGATCAAAAGTGTTTCAGTCACCCCAAACAGTCTCTCTCTTCTATCAGATTAGTATCTCATCCCAAAGATCCTAAGAATTTGGTGGGCTATTTGGATCGCAAGTATAATAAGGTGCTATGAATAATAGCAGAATAGTAGACTTTTCTACTATGAATGAAATTGCTTGAATGATCAGTGCAAGAGGGAGAAGATTATTCTCAATTTAAATGCTTTCCACTAATAATCCCCGTGCGACGGGCACATGATTGCTGAACAATAGACCAGTGCGTATAAATGAAAATACACTGCTTCTCATTTCCATGAATCCAGTCCGTGGTCTTCCCATGACCTATTCTAAAATAGTTTGCCCCAAGTATTGGCTGTGGTTAAGACTTTCTGTCTTTCTCTGAGGCAACAATCTCAGGTTTAAGAACAATTATAAACAGAGTTAATGGTGACTATGGAGGGGGATGATATTTCCTGAAGCTGGTTTCTCAACTTGCTCACATAGTCGGCAAGAAGCCAGACAGAGCTCAACGCAAGTGTAACTAAAATGCTTTCCAACAGGAGGAATTTGCAAGAGACTTCAGATTAACTTTTTAACAGCCTATTTCAGAATATATATTTCCTGATTTTTTTTAAGTCAAAATTAAAACTTGCGATGCATCCTTTCAAAATAAAGAACTATTATATTATTTGAAACATAATTCCTTACACTGGAAAAAAAAAACCCCATGGAAATAACAACACAGAGATATCTGTGACCTGCTATGTTTTTAAAAGATAATCAACAGCTTGAAAATGAAACAGTTTACGTAAATTAAGACAGTAAACCAAGGTTGGGAAAGAAACCAGAGACATAAACATAAACTGGGTTAACAAAACAGATTTAACGTAGCTTTCCCTATTTGATTCCCTCCAGCTCCAGATAGGATAGGACTGCCAGTTCCTAGAATTTAGAGCAACAAACCTGAACTAGCAAATCCTGATAATTTTAGGAAATATAGTTCCAAAGTGGGGGACAACCATTTAATATCCTGATTCCCATTAAAATAGCAGGCCTGAAAGGAGCTGGGGGTTTGCATCCACTCTACTTTCTCCTTGTGTGGCCATAAAGCTGATCTTGAAGTAGTCGCTCCTGTGCAGCGGGCATTAAAAGTGCAACAGGGTGAAGGTATGCGCGTAAACCCTTCCCTGTTGCACTCTACTCTCAGACCCATGGGGCGAAACATCTGAGCAAGCCCCTACCCCGTTTTAACTGTTGCACATGCACACCTGCACAGATCTCTTCTCTTAGCCTATCTTATTTCTCAGAATTATGTTGAGTTTTGTTGGGTAAACACAGATCGTGGCTCCGTCTGAGCTCAGTGAAGGAAAACCGGGACAAACCCTCAATAAATGCTCTGCGTAAACAACTGCTCGAAGGTGCAAAATAACCTTCTGAACAGTCTTGAAGACCTTGCACTCAGTACAAGTGGCCAGTCTTGTGCAGAACCCACCCTAACAGAAATAAACTCTGTGCCTTCATTTTTGCTTTGAAAGTGAAAAGCAATCGTAGTGGTAGCAATTTCATTTTTCATGCACCCTCACGTACCCAATAATAAAATACGACATTGGGAAATTAACGCAATAGCTTATATTTCAGGTCACAATTAAAATACGGAGCTTCAGCAAGATGAATGGCCCATAAGACTGAAACCAATAAACGGAAGCTGCTGTATTTCTAAACAACAAGAACAACAATTTGGGCAACCAATTTGCTGCAAAGTATTAGCCTCAAGTATTACATTTACTTATAACAATATGTTTGGTCTTAACACAGAGGCATTCTTCTGTTGCTGAGCAGAGTTTTTAGATAGCAAGGAAGTTTGGGAAATACCAATGCAGTTTATAGATTAAAGAGTTCTCCTGCGGTATCAAGTGTTAGATAGGCGTTTGCTTTTCAGACAAAAGTTATTACAGGAGTACTTCTCTGAAAACTTCAGCTTTGTTCTTCAAGACATGACACACACCCTGGAAAAACAGTTGCTAGCAACGTACTGACAGTGATGGCACGAGGTCCTTGTAGACGGAGGTTGCTATTTTTAAATTCAGATTTGAAACCTCACAACAGCACCTTAACTCAATGGACTAATTCAGTGTTTCTCAATCTCAGCAATTTTAAGATGGGTGGACTTCAGCTCCCAGAATTCCCCCCCCCGGCCTCGCCGCTTGGGGGGTTTGTTGGCTTCGGTGTCCCCCCCTTACAAACGCCGTAGTTGTGTATCACCAGATATTTGCATCGGGGTTTGGGG